CACACACACACACACACAAATAATAAAATTTAAAAAAGAACCAAAACCCCACTCTAAAGACAAAGAGAATGTCTTTTTTGTCTTTTTGCTTTTAATTGTTTTAACCTAAGTTGTAAAGTACTGGAACTAAAATGACAGTAATGTAATTGTTTTATTAGATATTTGTTCTGTCTGTTAACTTAAAAGACTGTGGTTAGAAAGGGAGTTCTGGTGGCCTAGTGATAAGGTGTTGCACTGCTAACTCTTTAAAAGGCTTGTGGTTCGATTCCACCAACTGCTTCTCAGGAGAAAGCTGGGCAGTCTTCTCCTGTGTGATTTATGTACTCTGAGAACCCACTGGAGGATCAGCTATGAGTTGTTTTCAACTCAATAGCACATAACAAAAACAGATGATAAAAAAATATGCTCGCTTCAGTTTTTCAGTACTTCCGTTTACTTGTAACATTTCTTGTAGAAATAATGCACTTTATAGTTATACTTTTGAAAATATGTACTCTTTTGAAAATATTTGCTCTGTGTGAAACAGCTGAGTTTCCTGACCAGCTGTAGGATCAGTAATTTTCCTCTGCTATTTTCTAGATGAGAATGGTATTTTCCATTCACTTCTTAACTTTGGACTATGATAGACATATTTGGGTGCATGTCTATTATGAACAGCCTCATGTAACAAGTGGTCCAGATTGTTCACTTTTCTGCCACTTGTTCTACCCTTGTAGCCAAATTTCCCTCTTCTGTTTTGCTTGAAAAATTTTGGAGTTCTTGAAATAACATTTCTTTTAGACTACTGTAGTGTCTAAACATTGTTCTGTGCTCAATGATTGTTTTCTTTGCTGCTTCTGATTGATATTGTGGAAAACTTTTTTCCCTGCTTTCCCTTTCTCCTTGAGAAATGTTTAGAGTAACTGGGAACAAGACTTGTTGGTAAAAATCCCAATCTGTGTTTAGACAATGAGTTTTAAATAAAATCTTAAACTTAGAATGCAGGTTTACATGAAAATGCTATTGTGCTATAAAATAAGTAGGGATCATTGCAGATTTTCTTTATAACTTTATATCCTAAATAAATAAATAACACCAAATACATTTTCTGGTTTGTCCACTAGGTAGGCAAGCTTGATCATAAATATCTTACAGAAAGACTTAGAAAAAATACTTTATATATTTATGGTTCTGCTTGAACCACTTTTCTTAGAAAACTTAAAAGCTTGCTAGGGAAGAACACATTTAGCAATTTTGAAATATTTTTCACTCCCCCCCCCCCCCCCCCGGTTGGATTTTGATGATCAGTCTTGAGTATGACCTCTCTTAGTCTTTGCCACTTTTCCAGTTTTTATTTCCTGCTTCTGGCCAGTGAGAGCCTTGTCCCGCCAACGTGGAAAAAGTGACCACATGTAGGGACCAGACGCAGTGCCAGGGTTGTTTGCTGAGGTCCTTCTTGTGTGGAAAGAATGGTTATTACCAGGGAAGGTTTTCCTTTTGTTTTACTTGCTATCCAGATGCTGCTCAGACTCTCGCTCTCGCACAGGATCACAGTATGGATATTCCAAGCCAAGACCACCTGAAGGTAAAATCACCACACGGTGACTTCTTTTGTTGTACAGAGTGGCCCCTTCTCTGTACCTATGGATCTTGGACTCCCAAGACCTTTCCACAGTCACACGGATTTCTTAAGAAAGGTCCTTGGGAGTTCATAGACCAGGGACAGAGTGACCCTTCTCTGTTCTGCCCATAACAGAGTTCCAGTCTCTGACACTTTCTTTGGGATGTAGCACTTCTTATCTTCAGTTCTTTCACTTGCCTTCCCCGTGGGGTTTGTGTGTGTGTATTTGTCTGTGATTGTGTCTATACACAGATGTTTGAGGAAACTGTTTTTTTTTAGAATCTTAACGGGCTTAAGTTTTTGTCAGATCATTTCTTAAAGCTTGCTCAGACCTGGGAAACTTGATGATTATCTCGTTCTATGTTGATGGTTTCATATGTTTTTCTGAATTATGCCTAATTTTGTAGTGGACTAGCAGCTTCATACCGATAATATAGTGATAATGGTAGATTCTGGCCTTTTGTGCAGAGAGATCTTTTTTCTGTCAAGTCCCAGCTCTATCCACAGTGGGTTGAGGTGGTGTGATGGTCTCTGTGATGTGTGTGATGATTGTTGTGTACTCTTGAATTCTCTTTCTTGTGTGTAACCCCTTGTGTTACACACTCACTGGTTAGCCAGAGCGGAACTGCTACATCCCCTGGACTCAGTCGTTTCTACTGCACTGAGAGATACCTTTCGCTTCTTTTCAGCAAAGTGAAGTGGAAAGTTTGAACTCCAGGAAAAGAACTGACGAAAGTGATGCTCCCACGCTGCCTACCTCACAGCATAATTGCAGAAATTCAAGACAAGGTAACTTTTTTATAAAGGCCATATTGCCTTTTTTTGTTTTTACTGTTGGGGAATCACCGAAATGGCATTTAGCCATGTAAGTCTTAGTTTAAGACCATAAAAGAAGAATAATGCTCTTTCCCCCCATACTAGGGAAGGAGGGAAGAAAAAGCCACTCAGCTAAAACACTCGTTGCCATCGAGTAAGAACCAACTCGTAGCTGACACTCCAGTGTGCTGTTGAGGGGCTGTAAATTGCACAGGAGGAGATTTACCAGCTTTCTTCTGAGGATTTAAGCCACCACTGCTTTGGGTTAACACAACTCCCCAGACTCTACCACCAAAGCCGACTTTATGTATTTTCTATTCTTTTCTGAAAACTAGTTTTTCCTGCTTAGTCACCATTGTTAACATTGAAGAAAACAGTAGTAGTTTCCTTAGAAAGTGAGATGGAACAAGACTCTTCATTGGCTAGCACGCTGATAGAAGATACTTGTACGTGTATCAGTTTGCCGCTTGGCAAGTTTTATACATAAATGTTTATCTTGACCTTTTAAATCTTGGTACCTTTTCAGTTCCTTTGGATATATTTGTTCTGGTTAGAATTTTTCTTTGATTTGTCTATTAGAAGCAGAGGCCGGTGTTACAGATTTTACAGAGACAATAAAACGTAGGTAGTAAAGTAAGGTTCTCAGAGCCAGCAGTGATTGGAAGAAGTCTACTTCCCTGAGTGATACTCAGAAAATGCAAACTCATTGCCCTGGAGTCAGAACCAGCTGCCAGCTGACCCTCCAGTGGGGTTCAGAGGCTGTATTGAAAGGGAGGAGACTGACCCATTTTTCTCCCAAGAAGCTGTTTAGTGGGTGTGAACCCCCATCGAGGTTCTTCCTTTGAGTTGGGAGCCCCTATGGACCAGGCCACTAGAGCCCCCATGGGTGATCTGTGTGGCTGATAGTCATCATGTGTTTGCCATCACATTTTATGAATGAAATGGATTGGCCCTATGAGCTACCCGCTATTGTAGAAGTCTCACTAAAATCTCACTTTTTAAAATGTCTTTCAAAATTGTGACGTTTTAGAAATATTTTACTCCAATTATGCATAAGCTCATTAAGTTCTCCGAAGGTATGATACAGCAGGTTAGGCTTCTAGCAGTGCTCCACAAAGTTGTATTCCTTCAGTTGTTTATCATGTTTCATTCCAATTAGTTTATCATGCTGGATTTTTTTCTTCAAATTGGACTTGAATCTAATTTTTGGATTCTCTAATAATGGCAGTGGGCTGTAGTTTGTTAGAGATGGTGATGATGGCACAGGATGGGGCAGGGTTCAGGCTGGCTGGTCATAGGGCCACTAGGAGTCATACTTGACAGCACCTAAGAGCAGCAACAATTACATTGTAGCTGTTACAGTCTGTGTGGAATTAAATGTGTGATTTTTAAAGAAATGTAAGTCCTTGATTATCTTCTTCTTAGAAGTCTGTGTAAATATAAGAATAACAAATTCAAGAGACTTGAATTATAGTATGAAAAATCAATATGATTTGTACACTTTTACACAAATGAAAAAATAGTTATGAAGAACTAAGCAAAAAAGTTAAGTAGGTAAAAAAAAAGTAGGTGAAGGGAAAGGCAGTATACAATAAAGGATTGAGTAGACATTTTAATTATAAAGGATTGATTAGACATTTTAATTATGTTAAAATAATGTTCTAAAATTAAATGCAGATAGCGGATCTAATGAAATTGTAGTTATAGTATTCTAAAACAAAATGTATATGAATGAAAAGCCCATATGATTTGTAAACACTCATTGTCCGTAAGGGAGCACTATCAACACAGGTGGTTCAAGTCCACCACCTTCTTTCTGTGGGAGAAAGGTGAGTGTTCTCTTCCCTTATGATTTACAGCCTCTGTAATTCTGTTAGCAGGTCAACTATGAGTGAATTCTGACTTAAAGCCACATAATAACACATTCAATAAATAAAAGGGAATAAAAAAGACTACATGTAGTCTCGTGATAGAAATTTTAGAAATACGTAGGTAGCTTAAGGTTTCTTACAAGTAGGAAAGGACAGAATTTTTAATTGTGTAAAGAATGCCTATTTCCATTTTCTTCACAATAAGTTGTAGAGCCCAAGTTGATGGGGATATAGTATTAATATGACATTACCCTGGGAATTTGGATTCTAATAACTTCAGCAGTAGATGTGAAAAATGAAGTTTTGCTTGGCACAAAAAGGCCCTTGAATAGGCGTATTGGCATAATTTGTATGTACATGGTGGTGTTAATTAGATACTGTTGAGTTGATTTGTACTCTTGATGACCCCGTCTTATAGATTAGAACTGTCCATAGAATTTTCTAGGCTCTTAAAAGGAGCAGGTTTCCAGATCTGTTTTCAGAGCCATGAGGTGGGTTCAAACCACCAGTTTCACTTAGCAACCATCATAGCACTAGGGCTCTTCTCTAAGTAGATAGGTTAACCTATTGTTTTTTCAGGGGGATCCCTTTATTACAGAAATTCTTCTGAACATATTTCCTCAGCACTTGCTAAGTGCTCACAGTTGCCATTAGCAGGCCTTGTGTGCTGGGAAGAGGAAGAAACGAGGAGGTTAGGAAATGAATACAACAGAAAAGACCAGAGATGATGGGGAAGCAAGCAGGAAGCTCATGTGAGAGCAACAAACTTAGAATTGCAACAGATGTCGAGCCACACACTTAATGGTCATAAAATCCTTGAATGTCATTCAGATACACAATGCGAGATCTTTTACCTGTCTTAGATTTGTAGTGTTTCTAGATTTTAGAATTTTTTTTTTTAGATTTAGATTTTAGACTTTCTAGATTTAGCTCCAGAGAGCCCGTGAATCCAGAGAGGGCACAATCCGAAACCTGTGCTATAGAATTGGTTTCAGCTCATAGAACTTCATAGGCTCAAATCTTTATGGAAACAGATTGTCCCATCTTTCTCCTGCAGTTATACATTTGAACCTACAGCCTTAGATTTAGTAGCCAAGTACTTGACAACCACCAGAGAAGGGGATATGTACATATTTGTACAACATAGAGCTCCATACTTCATAATAGTTGTTACATGTCAATTATATGAATTACTGAGAATGCTCCAAATTAATGACCAACTAAGTGGTCTCAACAAGACAGTCTTTATAACCTGATTGAGTGCCCATTATAGTCCATACCACCTTGCTGCGATCTCTTGCAGGAGCCACTCTGTTTGCTCTCACCATTTTGTAGTCCAGTGGGTACCATGTGCTATACGTAGCAAGTCATTCGTTATTTACTATACTTTAATGATGGAAATGTTTAAAATTAAAATAAATAAGCAACAATAGCAAAGGGCAGCAAATAACAAATGCTGTGGAGAGATTGGATCTCTTAGTCATTGCGGCTGGGAATATAAAATGGTACAACTACTATGGAAGGCGGTCTGGTGCTTTCTAAAAGTGTTGGAAATATACCATTTGACACAACTGTACTACTGCTGGAAGTATACATATACATTAAAGAAATCAGAGCCACAACTCAAACAGATGTATACACACTCGTGTTTATTGCTGTTACTGCCCATCAACAAACTAATGGATAGAAAAGCTGTGGTACATTTGTACAATGCGATATTACTCAGCATTGGAAAACAATGAATTTGTTAAATGCTGCACAACATGAGTGAGCCTGGATGATATTTTGCTTAGTGAAATACCTCAGTCACAGAAGGACATATATTGCATAACATCATTGTATAAAATAGGATTGACAGGAGTTGAGGGAGAACAAGAAAAGAGTGGATAGATAATGAACACTGCATTGGAACAGATAAGGGGAAAAACTATGTGAAAGGAATGTATAAATTGGCATTTTCTGTATGACAGCAATCTGGAATAAGGTACATTACAGAGTGGACTGGGGGAGCAAGAGGGAGGAAAATGTGCTACAGTGAATGAATAAAAACCTAACTTTTCTTTAAACTTGTTAAATTAATAATTAAAAAAAGGAACAAATATACAATTTAATGACCATATAAATATAGATTTTTAGCATTTGATTGTTCTGATGCTTTCGGGGTTTAGATTCCTTGACAAATAAATAATCATCTATTCTTAGTGTAATTATTTCCTCATGAATTGAAACTGAGTAGATATGGGCTCTGCAACTGAGGCAGATGTTTGCTTTCTGAGTTTGTCGTCCTGGGAATAAGAATTTGTTTTTACCTATTTTACAAGGAAGTGATGAATATTTATATTATAGATACTTGAGTTGTTTTTTTTTATTTTACTTGAGGTTTTAATGAAACTTTATAGAGAACTTGAATTTCTATTCATTCATTGTTGCACATTTTCCTCCCTGTCCACCCTCCCCAGTTTGCCTTTCTCTCTGAAAAAAAAATTAAATTCTTTCATTGTTGTACAAGAGATAATTGATTCTTAAGTGTTATGTCCATTGTCATCATCCTTTCCATTTGACTTCTATAGATGAAGACTTGATAGAAAATTTAACCCCAAATAAGAACTCTCTGTTGGACCTCGGATTTGAGGAGTGTGATGTAGCTGGTCTGCCTTGGTGGTTTTTAGGAAACTTGAGAAATAACTCTTCTCCTAGAAGTAATGGCTCAATGGATTTACGGACAAATCAGGTAAATCACACATTTGAAGGAGGATGTATTTTCTTATTTTAAACAAGTAGCTCTCATGATGAAAGAAATGACAATTCATTTCATTCTTTTAGACTTCTTGTTCAGAGCATTAGCTTTAAATATCATCTCTCTGTTTATGATGCTGTTATTCAGTGCCCACAAATTGAGTACGACTCATAGCAACCTGGTGAATAACAAACCTGAACCCTGTCCTGTGCCATATTTATCATCGCTGACACACTTGAGCCCATTTCTGCAGCCACCGTGTCAATCCATTTCATTGAGGATCTTCCTCTCTTTTGCTGACCCTCCACCTTTCCAAGCATGATGTCTCTTTCCAAGGAATAGTGTCTACTAGCAACATGCCCAAAGCATGAGAGATGAAACTGTCATCCTTGCCTTCCAGGAACACTGTGGCTGTACTTTCCAGGACATAACTGTTCATTCTTTTGGCAGTCCAAGGGATATTCAGTACTCTTCTCTAGTACCATAACTTAAAGACATGAATTAGTCTTTTGTCATCCTTATTCATTGTCCAGCTCGCAGGTAATTGTTTAACAAGTGACTGAAAAGCCCATGACCTGAATCAGGCACACCTTAGTCCTCAAATTGACATCATTGCTAGTCAGTATTTTGGAGAGTTTCTTGACAGCGGACTTTTGCCTATTACAGTGTCTCTCCTGATCTCCTAACTGCTGTTACCAAGTATGTTGATTATTGGTCCAAGTAAGATGAAATCATTGCTAATTTCAGCCCCTTCTCCATCTTTCATGATGTTACCAATTGGTGTAGTGGTAAGGACCTTTGTTTTCTTGATGTTGAGATGTAATCCATATTGAAGGCTGTAGTCTTTGATCTTCTGCAGCAAGAACTTCAAGTACTCCTCATTTTCGGCAAGCGGGTTTGTGTCATCTACATAGCGCAGATTGTTAACGAATCTTCCTCTGATCCTGATGCTACATTCCTCTTCATAAAGTCCAGCTTCACGAATGATTTGCTCAACCTACAGATTAAATAGGTATGGTAAAATAATACTACCCTGGTGCAGACTCTTCCTGGTTTTAAACCTGATTTTCAATCCTTTGCTCCTGGGACAACAGCTTTTTGATCTAGGTAGAGATTTTACATGAGTACATTAGTGTTCTGGCATTCTCATTCTTCTCAGTGTTAGCTGTGCTTTGTTATGATGCACACAGTCAAACACCTTTGTATAGTCAAAAAAGCACAAATAGACATTCTTTGAGTATTTTCTGCTTTCAACTGTGCTCCATCTGACATTAGCAATGGTATACCTGGTACCTCAATCTCTTCTAAACCCAGCTTAAACTTCTGACAGCTTTCTTTATCAATGCATTTGTTTTGTTTGGATCATCTTCAGTATTTTGTTTGCATGTGATATTAATGATATTGTTTGATAAGTCCACATTTATTGGATCATCTTTTTTGGGGGATGGGAACAAATTCGCATTTCTTCCAGGCATCTGTCCTCAAAATTTTCTGGCATAGACTGAACATGTCCTGGGTTGCTTCTGTTAGTTGAAATATGTCAATGTCTCATCAATTCCTGAGTCCTTGTTTTTTGCCAATGTCTTCAAGATAGCTTGAACTTTTTCTTTATTACCATAGGCTCTTGTTCATAGAATACTTTCTGAAATTGTTCATTATTGACTAATTCTTTTTGTTTGTGCCTCTGTATTCTTTTCATCTTCTTTTGATGCTCCTCAAATAATTTTATATTTTATCTAAGCTATATCTCATTATTTTAATTCGAGGTTTGAATTTATTTTTCAGTTCTTTCAGCTTTAAAAATGCCAACTAAATGCCTTTTTATTTTCTGACTCCAGATCTTTGCACATTTAAAATAATATTTTGCTTTGTCTTCTTGAGCTGCCCTTTGAAATCTCTGTTCCTAGTTTCTTCTGACATCCATTTTGATTTTTATCTTCTGTCTCTTGCTCTCTTTATGGATGATATCTTTGATTTCATCCTGCAGCTTCTCTGGTCTTCAGTCATTGGTGTTCAGTGCCTCAAACCCGTTCTTAAGCTGATTTGTACTGCAATCTCAGAGGTACGCAGTTCAAATCCACCAGCTGCTCTGCTGGAGAAGGAGGGGGCAGTCTCCTCCTGTACCAGTCAGATCTGATTTGACGGTACACATAAAAATAATACAATAAAAATTTTAAAAAAGGTGATTTGTAAAGTGTGTGTGATACCCAAACCTGTATCTCTAGCCACCTTTCCTCTAATTTTCAGTCATGACTCAGCATAACTTTTTTGTTTTATACAAAACACTCTTTCACAATTTCCTTTTTTCATAAATGATCCATGTTGTCTATTTTGTTATTCTGGTTAAATATCAAGCCTATATTGTTCATTTTGTCAGTCCTTTATCCAATGCATATCCTAAATCAGTTTTTTAAAAATTTTTTTTTATTTTATTATTTGTGTTTGTGCGTGTACCGTCAAATCAGATCTGACTGGCACAGGAGGAGATTGTCCCTCCTTCCCCAGCAGAGCATCTGGTGGATTTGAACCGTGCACCTCTGGGATTGCAGTGCAGCTTCTTGCCACTAGGCCACCAGAGCTCCCCCCAAATCAGTTTTTGATGCTACAACCATTGTAATCCTAATTCAAACCATCATCATTCTTTTTTTCTTAGCTACTTCAGCATCACAACTGATCTGTTTCTATTCTTGCCCATCTAATAGTTCAGTATTACCAAAGAGTATATTTTTAAAAGAGTACATTTGATCATATCATTGTTGTGTTTGCAGTTCTCCAGTAGCCTCATAAGAAATAGAATACAATCTAGACTCTTTAGCATAGCTGAGTCTGCTCTGACTCTTAGGGACCCTGAGTCTTTAAGTCTTAATAGCAGGAGACTGCCCATCATTCTTTTGCAGAGCAGCTGGTGGATCTGAACTGTTAGAGATGTAGAAATACATACAGAGTAGGCTCCCTTCCTCCTGTGCCTTTTTCCTAACCTTTTACTTGTTTATTGCATCCCATTACAGAGATATATGCTTCTTTCTCTATAGTCCATGATGCGTTTGTCTTCTTCAGGTACTGTATGTAATGTCTTCCTCTTTCTGAGACATGTTTCCCCTAAACCCTTTCATTTCTTGATTTTGATTCAGAGGCCATAGCATGTCCACAAATGAATGCAGAAAACAGGTTCTATATATTTCAGATTACTTAAAGAGTTCAGAAAGTGTCAGGGAAGAAAGTTTGGATTATAATCAGTATTTTTCATATTCTTTAATATCATTAAAGGCAAGTATGTATCACAATCAATTAATAGAATGTATTATAACTTCTTGAGAGTGATACCTATGGGAAAGAACGTACAGAATGGATTTTATTTATATAAGCAACTATGAGTCTTAGCATTTAAGTTCCTCAGTGTTTTTTAAGCATTAGACTTGTTTTACGGTTGACGTAGAGAAGTTCTTGCCCGATGCCTTCTAACCTTTCCATGCAGACATCTGTTGAGTGTAAATGCCTGTTTGAGAAAGGTATTCTTTGGTGGATGAAGACTTTGGGTCCTTTTTTGCTGGTTCAACATCCTAATAAGCTTTCATGAAAACTCATGTTTGATTTCTTCTTCCCCCCCATGTTAGGATGTAGGTACTGCTCTTTTTTCAGACACTACAGATGACTTGTGGTTTTTGAATGATTCTGTATCAGAGCAGTTAGGTGTTGGAATGAAAGCTGAACCTGCTCATACTGAACAAATAAGGGACGATGTAGAGAAAAAGAATGAAAAAAAGGTATGTAGTAGAAAAAGTGTCCATTGATATTTATGTGTGTGGTGTTTGTTTACTTTATACTGATTTATTTACTTAAATGTATGTGTTATAACCTATTCAGATCTGTGGTGACCTGACCTATACCTCTTTGTACAACAAATCACACACCTTTTAATTTTTTTAGTATTTTCCTATGTCCAGTTTTGGGATTCAGAATGAATTAAGGTAACCAAAGCTACTTTTGAAGTAAGTATAGGCTTTATGGATGAAACTCTTTTTAGAAGCACTAAGCCTTTTTTGTTTTATCTTGGCTTGTGAGGTGGGCTGGTGATTCATTGGTGTTAATTCTGGCTTTCCACATGGACAAGAGGGCTTGCTTCCAGGCCAATACAACTCATGTAAAATACCACCCAGCTTTCTGTGGAGGCTCAATGTTAATATTATTATGCTAAATAGCTTTCAGAAAGTCATAGGCTAATCTGGACCAGGTAGGAGATCTGGAAATTTGCTTAAGCGCATCCAGTGGAAGGTCACAAGAGTCACATTCCAGCCAGGCTGAGGACGGCGCGGGTGTGGACAGGGTCTTGTTTAATTGTGTGTTTGCAGGAGTTGGGGCTGCTCACCACAACAAGCCTCATTTGGAGTTTTTTTCTTCTGGAAACTTGCTTTGCCTTCTTGGAGGAAATCCTTATTTTTGTAAATTTTCCCTCTACCTTCCACCGCTTTTTTTATGCCTAAATAGCAATATAGATGACTCTTTCCTAAATATCCTAGAATTAAAATAGGAGAAAAGAAAGGTGTTAGAATTCTGAATACATATGATGTGAGCAAAAGAGGATGAAAAGTTGTATAGACGTGTGTTCAAGGCTCAGAAGAGAACAGCAGCAAATCTAGTGCAAGCATATGGAAGATTCCCAGCAAACGTTCATTGAGTAGCAAAAAACCAGACCTAAATTTGGTAATCCTCTATATTTGTTTACATAAGAGGTTTTCCTGGAAATTTGAGTTCTTGTGAGGTTTTGTAGAGGAGTTGCTAACCAGAAGTCCAGTGGTTCAAGACCAACCAGTCCCTCTGCAGTAGCGGCATGTGGCAGTCTGCTTCCATGGAGAGTCCAGCTTAGAAACCCTGCTGGGCATTTCTGCTCTGTCCTGTGATGTTGCTTTGAGTCAGAGTTGACTTAACAACAATGGGCATTTGAGGGTACTCTTAGACTTTTAAGTTGGATGACATTAGGATAGAATGCAAATAGTTGAACTGGAGATAAAGTGACATATGGAAAGTTTTTTTGGTTGTCTAAGAACAAACATATATGGTAAAGTCTTGGAGAAGGTACAGCCAGAGTGCTCCATGGAGGCAAAGATGATAAAACTTCATCTCATGTACTTTGGGCATATTGCTAGGAGAGGTTATTCACTAGAGAGCGACGTCATGCTTGGGAAGGTGGAGGGACGGTGAAGGAGACGACCCCCATCCAGGTGGATTGACGCAGTGACTGCAGCAATGGGCAGTATGTTAAAGATGATGAGGACGGCACAGGACAGGACAGGGTTCAGTCTGTTGTTCGTTAAGTTGCTTGCTGTGAGTTTAATTTGACTCCACAGCACCTAACAACAGTGATCCTTTATTGAAGTACTCTGATCTGTGCCTCTTAGCTGGCTAGTCATTCTTTAGAAGCACTGTGGAGTCTATGTTGTCGTGTCATTTATGATGGTGTGAGGATGGTGGCCATCAATACTGCAGCCCACTGACTGGGCAGTTTCCAGGATCTCTTTAATAGTGTATTTTACTAAAAAGCCAACTAGTGTGTGGTATTATATACTAGGCTCACATTTAAGTTTATCTCCTCTTTTTAGTGCGAGTGGTCGATGGGAGTTTTTTAATTAAAGCCGTTATGGTTTTTGGGAGGTGTGTGTCTTTTGAGTAATAATCTCATCAAAAATGGGTATACCTTACTAGTAAGGTGTGTTTTTGCCTTCACAGGTGGTTGAAATGGAAAAAAGTGATGACTTGGAGGACTCTAGGTCCTTAAGTGATGATACGGATACAGAAGTTACCTCAGAGGTACGGGTTAAAGAGCTGCTTTACAGGGACCATGTGCAGATGATACGGGCCCAGTAGTTCACTTATATTGGAGAATATAATTTCCTTTCTCCTTAATTATTTTTCTAAAGTATCAAGAGGTGTTGGTTTCTTTGCATATTGTTAGAGGCATTGGATTTGAAAAGGGAAGGGGATGATTTGATCTAAGCCTCTTTCTACCTAGAAAACGGGGCTGACAGGTGAGTCTATCTTTTTGTTTGCATGCCATTTCCCAATTTTCCTTTTAGTACTTCTGTTAGCTAACTCACTGTGGGACACAAGTGGTGGGGAAGGTTAAGAAGAGAATGTTTCATTTTGCTGCTTGGTGATAACAACAATAATGTTTAAGTTACCTCTAGAATTGATTCACCTTCCCATCTCTACCCTATTGTTGACCACTTTGATAATTTCATTATCTGACTGAGCGTAGTGTGAAACATACTGGTCCATTAAGTGTTTTTGACCGTAACCCAAATCTCTCAACTTGCTCATTGCCTGCTCCTAGCTGACCCTCCAGCGAGTTTTCAGATGCTGTAAATCACATAGGAGGAAATTGCCTATCACTCTCCCATGGAGCTGCTGGTGGATTTGAACCGCCAGAGAGGTGCCATCTTTGAGTTAGCAGCACAGTTCCCTACGTTCACCACCTGACTCCCTGTAATTCAAATACCAAAGGTAACTTTTTCTGTCTTACTCAGAACTTCTGTGGCTTCTTGGGGTAGGAAAATCTATTGCTCAAATAAGAGTGTCAACTCGCAAATGACGTTGAATTTCATAAATCTTGTTATTCTATGTACAATTAAAGAGAAAAAAGTGATGGCATTTAAATTGTGACATATTAATTAAGAATTCCATATCTTTAGTCCCTTAAAGTATTTCTGTAACAGTTCAGATTATATCTGAGGATCTTAAACAGATATCAGTGTTTTGAGACTATCTGGAGTTTTAAGGACGTTAACACATAGCCCCACTTCAGACTTCTGAGTTAAGACCTAAATTGACAAGTGGTTGGCCTTCATTCTGAAAGAAACTAAGTCTGTGTCAAATCATTGATCCAATCAAAGCTGGGCAATTACTGAGTCAAATACTTGAGTTTTTCCTCCGTAACTAACTTAAGCAAGCAAGGCGTTTAGAATTAATGAGCTATGTCCTAATTTGAATATGGAGAAGTAGAGAAAAAAAATTACTTGACATTCAAGGACAAGAACATGGATTCATCCCCACCCCTTATCCCAGGAGTGCAATTTAGACGTATGATGAGCTACTGTAATCCTGAGGATATGGTTACTAGTTTTCAGGTCTCATTGTAGTTTGAGCTTCTTTTTTTTTTTTTTAAAAAAAACCCACCCAAATTTTATAACATTATGTTAATTAGTAGTAAAGGATGATAGAGTAAAGGGATGGGTTATGCAAAAAGAAGGGATCTAAGACAGTAGAGAAAGGCTGAAATAATGAACTTTGTTGACGAAAACAGTATCACATTTTGGGTTGAAAATGTTCTGTAGCATTTTTGCTTCTAAACTCACAAAGAATTTGACAGCTCAGTCCTCAGAATTAGGTTATCTATTTGGAAAGTCAATTTAATATGGAAAGGTATTTTAGTCACTTCATTCTCTTTCCAAAGATGACGAACTGGGAGGGAGCAAGGAACAGTAAAACATAAACATCCTTACACTCATTTGTCAGTTTGGTCTCTCATTTATTATTCTATCAGTTAAACTTCCCAAAACATACTTAGCTGGTGTGGGCTTGGTTTAGGTCTTCTGAAATGTCTGAAATGTATAGCCTGCTCACTAGTGAGATGATGGGAATTTGGCCTCCTTTCCTTTTTTCTCAACATCATATTCACCAATCAGTAAATATTAATTAGTTGCATTTGTCTTTGTAGAATGAGTGGCAGTGTACGGAATGCAAGAAGTTTAACTCTCCAAGCAAGAGATACTGTTTCCGTTGCTGGGCCTTGAGGAAGAATTGGTATTCAGATTGCTCCAAGTTAACGCACTCTCTCTCCACCTCTGATATCACTGCCATCCCCGACAAGGAAAATGAAGGAATCGATGTCCCTGATTGCCGAAGAACAATTTCAGCTCCAGTTGTTAGGCCTAAAGATATGTACAGAAAAGAAGACAACCCCAAGCCTCTTGGTCCTTGCCGCTCGGTGGAATTTTTGGATTTGGCTCACAGTTCTGAAAGCCAGGAAACCATCTCCAGCATGGGCGAGCAATCAGGTATCAGAAGAGATGCCGAGAACATGGAGGATTGCCAGACTCTTTTGAAACCCTGTAGCCTGTGCGAGAAAAGACCACGTGATGGGAATATTATTCATGGGAGGACAGGTCATCTTGCCACGTGCTTTCATTGTGCTAGAAGACTAAAGAAGGCCGGGGCTTCTTGCCCTGTTTGCAAGAAAGAGATTCAGCTGGTTATTAAAGTTTTTATAGCATAGTTGAACAAGAAATACAATGGAGTCAGGTCAACAGAGAGCCAGGATTCAGTATTGAGTGTCTACTCAGTTTGACCCTTTACACCCATTTACCTATTTATGTAAATGCCCGTGTGTAGCATTTTTGCTTCTAAACTCATAAGGAATTTGAAAGCTAACCCCTCAGAATCAGGATTTAGTCATTATTGACGTCATTCTCTTTCCAGAGATGAGCGCTGGAGGGAGTAATGAAGAGCAAAACAAAGAATTAATTCACTCATTAGTCAAACTCTTGGAAAAGTAATCCTTTTTTTAAATTTTCTGCCCTTCTTTTCTGACAGAAGACATTCTTAGGCATCAGATTCCAAGGCAGCTATTAATAAAACATGGAGGTATCAATAAAACAAATATGAGCACATTATGTAGGTCTTTGAGTCACTGTGTTACAGTCAAAACTCTATGGTTCAAGGAAACCAAAATGAGTAATCTTGTTAGAGAGAAAGGCAGTTTTATTGCTAAATACCTACATGGTTGTTTTTCAGACATGATTTGCTAAAATATGCTTTAAAGAATCTTGGAAGTATCTTTCCATTTGCACGTTTAGAAAACTGAGATATAATTGATGTAAAATGATACCTGCCTTGTAGACTCTATGTGTCTGGTCATAGAGACACGAGTAAATATGAACCACAGTAAACTAGGGACAATTTCTGTCACCCCAAAATATTCCTGTGGTTCCCTTTACAGATAGTTCCTCAACCATTTCCCAAGTCACCTTGGATTAGTTTTCCTTTTGCAGCATCTTAAAATTTGATGTCTAAGTTTTAAAAACAAATGTGTAAGGACTTAGGATGTATTGTTCAGCTTATTGCTTGTGTGCATTCAGGATTCTCCGTCAAAGCCTTGGCACTGTAGATCTGGCATATATTTCTAGAGAAAGCCCTGTTACGTATATATAGGCAAGGCTTGTTCTCATTTTTAATTGGATCAGCCAAATCAGGGTTCACTTTCATTCAGAAAAGATCTGCTTTGACTTTTCATTAATAAATTCAATAATACATGCCTCAGGCACCACCTTCTTAAATTTCTTTTCTGGAGTAGAGAAGACACAACATGTTTTCAACAAGACTCCATTTGCTTTACCCTTTGCCCACCTTACTCCTTTGGAGTTTGGGGGTGAGGATCACTGTGTTTTAGGTCCCCTAGAGAATTCCCACTCTGAAGCAGCAGCCCATATAAGGATCTCGATGTGCAGTTGCAGTTTTTGAGTCAGCTCCAGCTCATGCTGATCCTTTGCCAAGCAAAACCACGCCCAGTCCTGCATCACTGTGGTGCTATTGCCTTTTGTATTATTGTTTTGATACATCTCATTGCATTATGTGAATGTATTGTGCAGCTTGCTGTTTTGGTGGTTTTACTGAATTTTGCTCAAAGTTTTATACAGTAAGTTAAGTTCTCATTTGACAACTCCTTTCGATGCTATCTTTCACTCCTATCTTCTGATGTGTGTGACAGAGGATGGAGGTATGTGTGCAATTCTCGGGTCCCTGTTTGTATATAGGACAGTTGCGGGCACAGTGATGTTTGTAGTCTGTCACTGATCCTGTGGAGTTGGAGCCAGCTTTCACCCAGTGGGATGTGTGGCTGGGTTATATGGATACCGGTGCTGTCTGTCCTGTCATCAGCCGGCCATTGGTGTGGGCATTATTGCAGTCCTAGGCTCCTACCCTGATCAGAAAGCTTCTTTGATTGTGTTGCCCATTTTCTGGTTTGGAAACCAAATATACTTTATTTTTTCCAGTGTTTTCTGCATCCTTTATTCTTAGTCATGAGGAGAGGGAGACCAAGAAACTTCACAAGGTTGAAACCAAGCTCGACCAGTTCGACACTGTTGCTTGGACTTGTGTGCCCCATGCATCTGTGCCTCCTTTCCTGATTTTAAACCATGTAATAGCCTCTTGCAGATTTCAAATAACTAGTTCATGACTAGCTTCCACACAACCACAGTTAAAATATTTTGGAATTCTAGTTCTTCTAAATGTTATCCATAGTTTGTTATGATCCACTTGTATCCCTTCTGTCTTCTTTTGAGACTGACTGTGTGATTCAAAATTTTGCCTATAGAATCTTTCAGAAATGTGTGTTGAGGCTTGAATCTGTTCTTCCGTTTTCAGCTTGAGAAATTCCCACTTTTCCTCTCTTGGTTTTCTAGTCCCAGGTCTTGACACATTTCATTATAATATTTTACTTTCACTTCTAAGTTACTCCACTATTAGATTTTCTAGATAATAGTTAACTGATTTTTTTGGGGGGGGGATCTTTCGAGAACAGAGAATAAGCTAATTATGAAAAGGGAGGTAGTTAAAAATTGTAAATTAGAAGCACATAAATTTTAGAACAACATATATGAAAATTGAAGCTCTTTAATTGCTTTTTCTTGTAGCTTGTCATTTTTATAATCCCAAGGTAATATCTTGGTGCATGTGTAAAGATAATATTTTTAAGATCAAGGCCCTTGGATAGTCGAATTTGAAGACTGTAAGAATACATATTTAAGGAGTGTAAGAGTCTAACCAGGGTTGATTGGTCAAAATACCTACTGCTTTCCTACCCCTACCCTGGAGAGTTTGTTCTGGTTTCAGGTTTTGCTTTTAAACTACTATCTTTAGAACTAAGCAATCTCTGATAGAAGTGGTTGACCGCATTTCCCACTGTCTCTCCCTGGAAGGAAGAGCTTTTTCCTTCCCATTGTTCTGAACTGAACCCAAGCCATTAATGAAGAGCACCGAGGAGATTATTTTGCATTTATTTCATTTCTAGAGGGGAATTTTTATTAAAATTACAGAATTTTTAAACTAGAATACACCCAAACTCCCTTATTTTGCACCCGAAGTTTGTCTTAGTTATCTAGTGCTGCTATTATCTAGTTATCCACAAGAGGATGCTTTCTCTTCATGAAGACATTTCTTAAGTGTGCTAGTGCTAGGGGAACTTTCCTGATTTCTTCAACTGTCTTCGATGTCTTTGGAGATCGCCATGTGTCTTGGCATCTGTCTTACTCCATTTTCTGTTGTTTCTTTAATGTCTCCTATATCTTAAGAGAAAAACGACCCACAATATCTACTCTACTCGTTGTAAGCTGTTGGGTCAGAACTGACTCGTAGCTGACCCTCTAGCAGGTTTTCCGAGACAGTAAATCGTGCAAGAGGATTATGCATCTTTCTCCTGCACGGCAGCTAGGAGATTGGAAACATGTGCCTGTAGGTTGGCAGCGCAGCCCCTTACCACTAAGCCACCAGAACTCCCTCACAGCTTCCTGACAGAGGCAAGAATTTACAACATATTTTAGGGGTCATAAATTCAACCCAGCACAAAGCTAAAAGTTATAAATGCTTTTGTGGAAAGTCACAGCTACTTGATAGCACTATTACTAGCCTCCCAAGTCTCTTTACCAGTAAATCGTTAAATGTGCCTTTTCTCATGTCTTGTTAAATATTTAAATCATGGTGCTGTTGAATTTGTAATAACAGATCTTAAAACATAGATCATTTAATAAATGCTGTTGGAGACTATTTATGGCTTGTGGCCAATATTGGTCTTTATAAGAATAGTGATTTTTAAATACTTAGTCTCTCCAAAGGGAGATCAGCCAACGTAACTCGTGGGTTCTTACCTAATCAGTTAACTGTTTGCTCCCTGGGGAGATGAGAGAACGTCGCAGAGGGACCTGAACCAGTTCTTCCAACCTTGCTCTTTCCTGGTGAGGAAACTCCAGCCCACCTCTCAAGCCTTTGGGGCCAAAGGATTTCCTCCCAGCAAATGGAACCTACCCTTTGAGCTCAGTGTTCTGATTATACTGAGTGATCTGAAACTTTAGCAAGTTAAATGAGCTTCTTCCTTATCCCTCCCCCTATCATAGTACTGGGGTTTTTTTTGGGTTTGTGTGTGTGGGGTTTTGGTTTTTTTTTTTTGGTGATGGGGGGATGTTATATGCCGATGACTCTGATTCGACTGGCACAGAAGGAAGACTGCCCATCCTTCTCCAGCGGAGCATCTGGTGGATTTGAACTGCCTGCCTTCCCCCTATCATAAGAGTCTGATGGTCCTCATTTTCTTTTTTGTCAGCTGCTTTTGCAAGTGACACGGGGTCAGGGGTGGGTTGGGGATTTGCCAATGCCATCCTTCGATCTTCTAGATAAAGTTGCAGTTTTTATTAAACTTAGAAAATTATTAATGGTTGTAGATATTTGATGCTAGTTTCTCTACATGCTTGCCCAGAGGAGTCCTGTTAGCTAATTCCCTCCCCTGCTCCTCTGCCAGCCTGGGTTTTCACTGTGCTCATCAGCACTACTCAGTCTAGAAGAGCCTAAGGCATGTGTTGAAGCTATGAGTTTTCCTCTTCTCTTACATGAAACCCTCAACCATCTTGATTTTTTTTTTTTTTTTAACTTTGTACTTTCCAAAATTGCCTTTGCTGTTCAGGTAGTTTTAACTCCTTGCCATCCAAGTAAGGCCTAATTGGTAATTGAAGTCTTCAGAATTTATGACTATAAGAGAGAGACAGCAAACTGTTGACTCCTAGTGTTCTTTTTCAGTTGTACGGAGGTTGATCAGAGGCTCTGGTGTTGGGAGTCCCGGTTTACCAGATTTTCAGCATCCTGCTCGAGTTAGCTCCGTTCACTCAAATGCCATCATTTGGAAATGAGATCTTTAGGTCACCCGAATGTGGCAAGCCATGCCTGAGTTCACATTGTGATTGTGAGGATGGGATCCGTGCAGATATGTGCCTGCTCCATCATGCTATGGGCTGTTGTGAATAATGATATCATCCCATGACATTTGCTTTCTTTCATTTACAGTCCTACCATTACGTGAAATGGACAGAAAGTTTAGAACAGAAATGAGAGAACATCAGAAAAGCAATGGTTTTCTGAATCTTAGCTAGAAAGGTTCTTTGTCTCTCACTCTTGGACTCATGTCTTGGGGTGTGCTTGCACTGGTGTGCATTTGTATTTACTACCTGG